ATATAAAAATTAGGTTACACCTAATAGCGGAGCTCCATGCCCAATAGGAAAACAGAAGCTGAAAGTGATTATCTATAGTACTACTATTTCAAAGGTAGCCTTAGTAGAGATGCGCTGTTTCAAGGAATGTTGAAATGCAAATAAATATTCTAAACATATTTATTCATTTTAGCTTAAGAAAGAGTATGTTTATCAGAATTTCGTACTCTAAATGTAACATTGACCTCGTAGATTTTGTTCCGCTACAAAAATACACATTTTTGTACCTTTATTATTGAAACTTCCGATAAATTATCGTTCAATGGACATCTTCAACAGAACCATACYTGTAAGCAAAGGTTTCATTAATTTATAGTCATTCAAGGCTGTAATTTTGTTGATTCTCTGTATTTTTTAAAATCAATCGAGTTCTGCTGATGGTCTTGGTTTCAAGGAAATCCCCACACTTCTTGGCAAACAAAATTCACACAGATTGTTGCTTTCCCCCATATTGTTGCAGTAATTTCAATATAGCATCATCTTKTTCTTGTTGTCGAAATGTCAAAGCGAAAAGTCATCCTGTCATTCGTAAAAACTGAGCCTCAARACGCTTGACGAAAGTAAATTGCTTTTCATCTTCGCAAATCGATTTCCCGGATGTGCGGACGCCTYGTACTTATGACAAAATTGGCGGGAATATTTCTGTGCTTTGATTTCGGGCTCCTCTGGATTTTTTTTCTTGTGATTACTTTTTCTATTAATATTAATTTGGAAGATAAGGGTTTGAGAAAACAATTCGATGCTTCAACAAATATTTGGCACTTGGAGCATGGTTTTCCTGTGGTGGTACACGTTCCCGGACGGAAGGAAACGTGCGTACGCGCGGGAACCCTGTGTTGGTCCAACGAAAACCGACTCGATGGATATACCATTTGTGCTCCGCTATAAACAATGCAAGAAAAACAAAATRACAAGAATCTCTCTTCGCGTATTTAAAAAGGTTACGGGCCAATGGTGACAAACAGAGAAAAGACACACTAGCACCCCCAGCAGAGTTATCAAATATTGTCACCCGTTTTGGATCACCTCCGAATCTGAAACCAAAAATAAAGAGAGATAGATAGAAATTAGATCACCACAGTCTGCGTTTTGGAGAATAATCGATGATCGATTACACATTGAAATACTTCGATTTCGAGCTTGAAATTCGATACAGATAATATTTGTTAGTATGCCAATAAGAAACTCAAGTTCATTTTAAAAAAAATTAGGTACCAGGAAGATTTTTCTGGTGATAAACATATGGTACATTTTTCAAAAGATTTTCACAGCCATGGGCAAACAAGTCTCAGAAAATTATTTGTGTAATATTTTATAATAATTGTTTCTCTAATTTCATTTAGCATAGAATGAACTATGTTTGTGTAAAATTTCAGCGTGATTGGATTGTTTTTAAGGCCATTGCATCGCTTTGTTTTCGACCTTTGGAGAGACTGATTACGAGACACGATAATTATGTTGCGTCGGCAATATATTACTTTGGCGAATTTCTCTCAAAAATAAAAATTCCTGTAATCTTTAAATATCCTTTTTGGAAAAGGTCTACCTAAAGGTGTCATCTGGCAAAGTACGAAGAATTTGACCGAGACGTCGCTGAAATCAGATTCTCGATGCTTGGGGATATTCGCTCAATCTTTAAAAACTGTAACAATAATATCACGAATATATCAATTTGTTGTGTGGAAGAACACAGCTACCCGATCGTGCAGCTAGACACAATAATTGTGCAACCTTCGTCAAAATGGAGTTACGAAATGTAAAACTCTAGAAGTCATATTGCCCTATCGCATAATTACGTTAACGCTAAGGATTATGGTCGCCAGATGAGATCAGATTCAATGCATATCACATAGAATGTAGATTGGATTAATCACTGATCAATGATGTACATCAAAACTCGATACACTAGGGTTCAACTCTTGGAAAGAATATTCTAAATATAGAGTCTTTCTGAGCATCCATTCACAATGTAAACATTAATACAAAACAATAATACCAAACAAATTACCCTGCAATGTTTCGATTAACCCACTTTAAGGCTTCTATCTGGTCAAAAAGGCCATAGTTGCCTCTAAACTCAAAACCTTTCGTGTGACGAAGAAATCCAAATATATCTACCCGGTAATTGATTGCAACAACAATAACATCTCCTAATGTTGCCAAATAACTGCCATCAGYTACTCTGTTTGAGCCACCTGTAAATCCACCTCCATCAATCCAAACCATCACAGCTCTTTTGCTGTCACATGGGGCGGCAGGAACATACACGTTGAGGTTTAAACAATCTTCATCCATGTCTTTGATTTGTAGTTTGAAAGGACTGGGACTCAAACTCATGGTTAAACTCTGCCAACAAACTTTCCCAAACGTTTCCATCACCTTTTAACACCTATCCATGATTCTCTTTAAGGGCGAGGTCTCTCCAACCGTTCTGCACGAGCGTAACGAATGCCGAGATTTTGTGAACAACATGGTTGTTTTTTAAAGTTACTGCAAACCCTTGGATTTTCCCCCCTTCAATTGCAATAGGATCTGGCTTGGTCGAGAAGACATTGTGGAGAATAGCACAGAAGAGTATCAGTGCCCACATTTCTATGGTAGTGATGGGTGCTAGAGTGATACTGTAATATATAGCGAACAAAGAGTATTAGATTTCACACTGACTTGATCTATTCCCGCTGTAAAAACAAGGTGTATGTATTCATGTTGTATATCATTTTGTGGTAACGATCGGTGGTCTTTTCATTGAGCTGCAGAAATTCTAATTATGTATACTATCTAATAGATATAGTATTTCAATACACTGTTTGTTAAAACTTTGTTTATCAGTACTACCTAAAACAAAACGTTTCAGTTTCTGATGCCCATTTATAGCACATTACTACTCACTTATTGCGGGAATAAAACTAACAGTCACACCTATAAATAAACGCGATAACGGAACAGTTACATTGGAACGGAAGCAGTACTGTCTTAATGGCTTGTGTTCAGAATCACTGCACTTGGTAACGCACCCTGCGTTTCTGACTATTGTGAGATTTAAATTATATTTGAACAATATCACATCATATTTGTACCTGTAGTAACAATACACCAACCATAAACCATTTCACGCCCTGTCTGTATATAACATTAGAACTAATGTTCCATGATATCAGACAAGAACACATCAAAAACTGGTATTTGAAGATCTCATGACAAAGAAATCTGCATGTGGCGTCTACACAACAACTACGTGGAATTCACCCTGCTCAGTTTCACTTGATTCAACAAAGTTATCACCTGTTAATATTTTTTTCGCAGTCTTTTGAGACGTTTGAAGATTTGAAAAATTTCGGGTTTTCATTCAAAGTAAAAGTCTTTGAAACATGGATGTTTTTGAATGTGTTGACGTCGGACGCTTAGTACCCAATACAAATGTTCGTGACTGGTCTACAAATCGCGACGAAATGAAAGACCTGTAAATATAAGCTAACGCACAAATACCCATATCTTAAAAGCAGTCATTTAGCAAAAAGCTGAAAATATATGTCCACGAAATATGCCTTTTCCAATTTCGCAAAATGATGTCCTCGCCAAAAATTAGTGGCTTGAATTTTACTAGTGGACAATCACATACTGTTACCAGGAGAATTCATGGCCGATGCACTTATTGTTGTCGTGAGGTCCTGCATCGATTTTTTACGAAGGATAAGATTTATATAATCTATATGCCATATTGAAACACAAGCTCTCCTAAACGTACGCGACTTCTGAAATCATAGTACGATGGTCTAAGAGGGTAGCTAAAGGTATGCTCTAGTGAACAGCTACCTCCTCACAAGTTTTATGTACACTCGGGATAGCGTGGAAGAGACGAAATCTCTAACCGTAAATTAGACCTTAAATAAGAACTTGGAGAAAAGCCACGTTTTTTTCTTTCTTCTTAGTTTTCTAATCTTTTAACTTTTTTAATTTCTTATCTTTTCCTCTTATTTTTTTTCTGTTGTGCTTGTTGCTTTCTTCATTTCCCTATTTTCTACATGCAATTTAGATAAGATAAATTCTGAAATCCTGGTTCCTAGTATGACAATGGTCTTGAGACTCTGTTTTCATTGTTACCACAAAACAAAGCAAACGATCTTTAAGTTTCCATTAAGATTTTATTTTTTGATTTATGTTGACAAGATCCCTTAGAATAGACCTAGGAAAGGAATAGACTTCATGCCATTGTAACCAGAATCCTCATCGACGTCCTCGCCAACCATCTCTCCGCCAGACCCCCTTTCGAACTCGGCGCCAAAACCGCTGTCAGAATCGCTGATGTTAGACYTGGTAAAGTTGGTAACACATGATCCGTAGGCGGTC